CTTAAATGTAAACTAAGCCTTAAGAGGCAGAATAACTATAGCTTGTGGCTATATCAAAGGAGTCATATCATCAACACTTCCTGCTCTCTCATGGTAGATTAAAAAGACATGTATCAACCTGAAGGCTGGATAATTAAATATTTATATAAGCTGTTTCAGGAGCTCTGCTCTGCATGGTCTTGCAGTTTTAGTTTCTCCTTCTGTTGGCATGAGAAACCTACCCAAACTCAGTTCAGCTGCAGACTATAAACAGAATGAGGTTAATCATAATTTGTGCAGAGCACAATCAAGTAAAACTCCTCCTTAATATGTATGTGTAGTGTTTGCTGGTGACTACAAAGTGCTACAGCTTTGATATACAAGGTTATTCAAATATTCTGCTACAGCCCAGACACCATTCCTTACATCATGATCATATTCTTAAAGTTACAAATGGTTCACTGTTGCCAAATACAACTTGCAAGAACTGACAGAAAAATTTTAAGGATGGAGCTGATACCAAATAATATTAGTTGATCGCTTCCTTTGCTAATGCTTCCATGTAGCAACCATTCACAGCTAGTCTTGGCTGTAATGCTTATCACATCCTTTGTGTGCAATCTTTTTTTTTCCCCCTGATGAAGATTGCTAATCAAAAGCTAAGGCATGGTGGAGAAGAAGCTGTAACAAAACCCTGTATTTAAACAAGATGGAAAATAGAAGAAATCAGTACAAATTATCAAAGCACTACAGGTCATTGTTATATAAACGATTAAAGTAGGAGATCACCTACAACTAATTATAAATGGTTAATTATTGCGATTAACAGACAGTTTACACTGTCTTCCCTTTAATGCTTTGATGCATACTTCAACTTCTGAAATTTGTCTGAGACATAAGATAAATAGTATTATGTGATTCAAGTCTAACATATTTGTCACCATGATTCCTTGGAAACACATCACCTTCCTTTCAACCCCAGTGCTCCTTTTCTGAACTGGTAGGGCATGACATGGCAACGTGCCACAGACAGTCCTGTAACATTATCCTTTAAGATACACAACACTGAACAATATGAAAATTATTAGGTGATGAGGTTATCATAGCATGATAGCATAAAATTATGTCAATTTGTGCTTCGTCTTGTATTGATCTTTTGCCTCACCTGCCCTTTTTCCACCTCACTTACTTGCACAGATTTGGGACACCGATACCCTTGCAACCCCTTTGCTCAATATGCAAAGATGGAGATGGCTGGAGATAAGCCACAGTTGCCTCCCCCTTCTTTTGGCACTTGTCCCTGGTTGGATCATTCTTTTGTGAAAGAGTTTTGCTGAGACAGAAGCTCTATATTTCTATATAGAGGATGCAAGAGAGAAGACAACCTCAGACTATTCAGTGTGTACTTGTGGTGCAGCATTTATTAAGGGAATCAAGATCTTCCAGGCATGGGTTCTGGTCCCCTCAGCATGTTCATATCAGCTAGGAAGAAAGTTAGTGAAGAGAGACATCCTCACACAAAGCCTCCTCAAATTACTGTTTGTCCAAAATTTAAATTTAGTACTGAAAGATTCAGATAGCATCTCCTTTTACAAATACAAAAAGCAGAGTTGCAGAACCTGTCGAAAACACCTCGAGAGTTCCAACGAAAGGTTTTCTTCACACAAACTTGACAGTAGAAAAATGTTTTGGTTATTTTATACTGCCTCCGAGGTTTTTTTTGCTTCAAAACATTTATTTCATTCACCAGAGGCAAAACTTGCGTATAGTTGCTTGTAAACAAAATGACAAAAGCACAATGATTCCCCTAATTGTTTAAGAAATTATTTTAAAGATATACAGTTGCCAAAAGAGATTTGCAAGTACATTTATGATATTCACATTATCTAATCAGCAGTGATACTGAGAGGGAAGGAATGGCTAATGTCAACAGGGATGTCAGCATAATATTATACTTGTGGAAGAGATTAACACAGCTTTTTTTTTTTTAAAGTTTGTTTATGGTCTATAAGAAGTGGAACTGTAGTCACTGCTTCTGCCTTCTTCTGCACCTCTTAAAGTTTACATACGTAAGATGACACATAAACCATTCCCTTACTGACTTCTACACTCTCAATTCACACCCGTAATGTCAAAGTGCTTTAGTTGCGATTTATTTCTACCCTAAGCAATAGATAGATGCACTGAAAAAAACATTAAAAAGGGAAATGCAAAGTCAGGGACAACCTTCAATGCTGCAACCATGGACTGCCTCTTCCTCCTGCTTCACATAAATGAAATTCCACTATCTGCTGCAGAACCTATGCAATATGTTTCCAGTAAAGATCAGCAGTGGTATGTGGGCCATCACCATTCCACATTTTTCAACTTAATTACATATAATCCAAGGCCAGTTGTCACAGAAATGGTGTTTTGGTTTGGGTTTGTTTGTTTGTTTTTTGGGTTTTGTTTTTGAAAGTCAGCCTTTAACAAGCTGTTGATTATAGAAAGCAGGAAATCTGATACGAGGTGGCTGAAGGCTCGTGGCTAGGCACGTAAGAAAAGAATGCATAGACCTTTCGCTGCTCCAGACTCTGGAGTCTCTGACCAAAGCGCTGATTTGATTTCATGACTGCTCTACACAGATAGCTGACATTACTAAATGCTACTCCAGTATCAACTTGTTAAATTTGAACCCAGACTCAGCATATCAATATACTAGGCCAGACTAACTGGAGTCAAGAGAAATATTTTGGGAGTTGTTTATTTTTAAATGAGTCACAATACACCATGATAATTAACTGGACTATATAATTATATGATTGCCATAGAATCCATTATATTTGTCTCAAAGACAGTAATAGCAAATATAATAGTTATCTATTTCATTCTTGTGAATTGCTGAACTGCTATAAAGTCAACTATGGTTTTTGCCTGGTTTGGTGGGGGAAGCATTTAAATTTTTTTAATAACATGTTTTATAGGATATTATATTAAAAAAAATTTACATAAAGACCGAAAGGGCCATTTCAGGACTGAAAGGCTCCTGTGCCTATTGTTGTATAACGGAATCTGAAACAAGTATAGTGCTAGAAAACCTTTAGTGTCCAGTTTTCTGATGTCAGAGATCTTTTTAATTTTTATGTAGATATGGCACAAATCTAAATATTTGCAAATACACGAGAAGTACAAGATAACTACAATTTGGGATTCAGACTCTTTGTTTCTATTATTTTTAAACTTGTCTCTCTCATGTTCTAGTCGGAAGATGAGATCTTAAGAATTCCAGAAGCTTAAAACATGCTGCCACATCAACACAGTACAAACACTCAACTACCACAGACGCATGCTATCAAGTGCTTTAAAAAGTTAAGTATCCTTAGATTTTATGTCAATGCACTGTAAACACAGTTTCCAGGAAGAAACAAACTATTGTCAGTCTAGGTTGGTTTTCTGGAAATGTGTGCTAACAATCTAATCCTGAACTTGGATTCTTTCTAAATTGAATTTATTAAAATTCACTCAGTATTAAAATATAAAATATCTTACATATCAACTGCCATTAAACACAGAGGGTAGGAGTCCAAGTTGACGGGAAACGTACTTGAAGTGCATGACTCAACATGTTTTCCCTTTTACAATATACTTTTAAAAAATAACTAGATCCAGATCACTTAAAATGTCATCATCTCTTTGTGCTTAGTGTGGAAATTACCATCAACTCTGCAGTTTGATTTTGGGATGAAGAATCACCAAACTAGATGCATAGTGATTACCTGTGACCCACTGAGTTTTATAATGAAGCTTAAACATAGATCACAGTTTCACAAGAAGAAAAGTGCATTTTTCTTCAAACTCGTTTTAACCAAAAAGCAATATAAAACTCCAAAGAAGTCAAAAAGTGTAGAATCATCAGGCACTACTTTAAGGGCAACAACAGACTGAAAACTACAGGCTAATACCTCCAAGATAGTTATATTACCAGTTTAGAAACGGTCTGTCATAACTATAGATCTTTGGCATAAAGCCTTTTGCTTAAACAAGCACATTAGTTAAATGTTAGTAGTGTCATTTCATAGAGAATGAGGTCTTAAGACAATTTGGGTAAACATTAGTTGTTACACTTATATATTATTTTTTATTGTGAATGCTGATAAAATATTCAGATCATTCAAGTCTTCACAATGTCATTTAAACAAGTCTTAAAATCCACATTTCATGTGGATTTTGCCTTACTAACAATATAAACCGCCTTAAGAGTTACTAAGAGCAAACACACTTCTACAGTTCAGTTGGATATGAGTTTCATTACCAAAAAAATATATTTAATATAAGCCTTCTAGACCCAAGTGCTATAATTTGAACAGTAATGTTGTTGGGAGAGGTATTAAGTTACAGTGTACTGCTCAGACTGAAGCAGTGGTTGGAAGTTAGAGGGAAAAAAAAAAAAAAAGAGAGAGGAAACCTAGAAAATTCCTGTGGTTCAGGGTGTATACAGAAACAAATGGTATTTAGAGTTGCTCTGCTCAAGTATTACTTATCTTTAATTCTACATACAGCAAACTGTTCTGTAAAATAAAGCCTATATGAAATAAACCTGAAAGACTCTACAGTAATCCACTCACACTATATGCAAACAATTGTAGTAATTACTTTTCAATAAATGAATAGTAAAGTTATGTACTTAAAACTACAAAACTTCATACGAAGTAATTACTTCAGTAATTCCCATGTCTAGGTAACTAGACAAGAAAATACCTTTGAGTTTCCTGTAAACAGGAAATTATTGTTTATATTAAATACAGGTATTTCACTGTAAGACCTATTCACCTATGCTGCTGTAGGTACCGTATTCAAAGAAACGGACCTAAAACCCAAATGTTACAGATACACAAAAATTAACTTTCTAATGGTGACAATTTTACACCACTAGGAAATTCTGAAATCACTGCATTTAAGCCTTGATTGTAAATTTTATTATTTTCCAGTTAAATTTCAGCTGTACAATACTGTCAAATTTTTCTACATAACAGAACACTCACCTTATGGGGCCTCCACAAAGAAGTGCTAGACATTTCCCTTTTAGAGGTTCCATATCTTTTCTTAACACCAGTTGTTTTTCCTTCATTCCCAGGTTTGAACTGTATGTGCAACTGAGACGTCCTGGCACTATGACACTTGCATTTAAGGCTGGATAAACAGCAAGAAACTTTTTGACGTGATCCTTCCAGCGAAACACTTCTTTGCAAAACATGGTGTGTTTTGCTCATCTGTGCATTTGGTCTTTCTAGTTCATTTATATTAATCTGATATTCTGAATCTGTTTTTGATGGCAAACATGCAGATGTGCTACGTGCCAGTCTTAAATGAGGGTATTTTGCACTGGAGTTCAGGTTTAACTCTGGACTGCAACAGCCATTAACCATTTCACGGCTCGATGCAAATGCTCTTTGGGTGAGATGAACTGAAATACAGGAGAAGCCATCAGATACTTCTTCACAAGTTGCCTGCTTGGAACTATTCAAAATTTGACTTTTGTCCTGTAATGATGTATTCAGGTAAAGTGGTCGAATGTCTCTGACTTCGCCAGAAGAGCAAAGTGTTTTAGACAGTCGAAGTCCATTGACTGCTGTTGAAAGGAATCCCTTGGAAATGGTTTGATCTTCTTTTTGTGCCAGCTCACTAGGAGAAATAATTAATTTATGGGATGTTTGATAGGCACCTCTATGTGGTAGTTGACCTGAGCTTACTGGAGAAGCCGGAGGAGTACTAGAAGGACTCCTAGGGAAAATAACCAGTGATGAACAACGTCGCAGAGGAATTTTAGTTTTCTTCCTCACTGATAAAGCATCTTGGTCAAAAGTAGTATTACTTCTACACAGAGTTTCCTGAGATGAGTTGTTCCTACAGGGATTACATCTGTTTGCAGGGCTTCTATATGAACAATCACCATGTACAACACTACTACAGAAAGTACCATCACTTGTTGAAAGAGTGCCACTACCACTGTCACTGATGACACTGTTACTATATGAACCTCCATCACTTGCGGTACTTGCACATGATCCGTAGTCACTGCCAGCACTGCTAAACGATCCACTGTCACTGGCTGCAATACTGCTAAGACTGCCAGTGCACAGAGCAGTATTGCTGAGAAGGCCAACATTAGATCGATGATCAACCACACTTCTAGCACCACAATTTCCTTCATTACCAATACCAATGAATGAAGTGTCTTCACCAGTAGCTACCGCATCTCCAGACCGAAAACATTCACCATACTTTCTAGACTGTAGAGAAATGTGCAGTGAGGTGCTCTTTTTTATTTGCAGTGAAGAAATAGTCGCATTTTCCTCTTGATTAATTACTTGTTGCATTACAGGTGCATAAGCAACTTGTCTAGGAGTCAGTTTCATTTGTGTAACACTGGGTGCAGAATTATGCAATTTTTTGAAGTATATACAGTTGTTACTACCCAAAACATCTTCAGATGTTTCCGATAACGGATCTGTGTTGCTTCTTTGAGTAGCAAAATGCAATCTTAACCGTCGTGCCATTTGTTCTCATTTCCACGCATGTTAGCAAATAAAAACCACAAAGATCCTTCAGCAGAAAGGCTAGAGGCAGCTGCACAGAACCTAGAGCTAGTACATCACAACAGTAAAAACCCATAAAAGTTGCAGTCTTTGTCCTTATTTCCACAAGATACTAGTGTTAAAAAAAACAACTGTACCTCTTGAAATAAGTCAGCCATTCGTTGAACTGCAGTTTCTGGACCGTCTTTCATTGCTTGCAGTCAGAAAGCATTCATTTACAAAGCACTTACATTCCAACGATCTCAGCTGCAACACACTGACAAACACTACTGACCTTGTTTCAATTATTCCTTCTGTAATTTACATAAATGAATACAATAATAAACTTCCAGTACTTCCAAGTTTAAAACAGCAACTCCTCCTGCAGCTGCACTAGCTGAGTCAATGTGTCCGTACTTTCCTCAGCAGCGTATGACTACTAATATTTTTACCCATAGGTTTAGAATTACAGGAAGTTGGTAGGAATGAAGTCCCATATAATTGAGTATCAAGTCTAGGATTGAATTTCCAAATAGTAACCATGCTAGCAAACTGCTGAGGTCTGAATTATGCATAAATCAGTTAAATAAGCCTTCTCCCCCTTAAAATAAGAGTCTTTTTGCACTATTTAGGTAAAAATTGAAAGAAATCTGGCATTATCCTGCAACCTACATGCTGTTAAGCAATCACACTTCCTAAAATTTGCACACAGTAGAAACCTCTCCTGCCAATTAATTGTTTTCAGTGAGATGCAACTGAATTAGAATGACAAGTTATTCTGATTAATAATTTAGCACTTATTTTCAGCCAACCATGTTAACCTGTTATGTTATATTTTAAGCTTTCCAAATACAGCTGTTAAAGTTAGAAAGAAACAAATTATTCTTACAAACTAAACTACCTCATCTTGTCCGCTGGAAGCCCACAATAAGCAGACATTCATTAGAGTTCAATATGGCAGGCAAATATATGACCAGCTAAGCAAACTTTAGAACATTGAACTAAGTATGCACAGAGGTAAGTATGACTACCAAGCACAATCACAGAAGGCAGCTATTCTGTATTGTTATATACAGACTGTCTCATACATTCATAGCTAATTACTTATTTATTTATATTTTTCAGACAAAATGATCAGCATGTCAAGAAGTTAATATACTGTCAACTCTAACAAGAGTAATAGGATTGAGAAATCCTACAAAATGTTTCACTGGCTGGTATACAGGTCTGAAAAGGTCCTTTGCTGGCACCTAGTGGGACTTTCGAAAAAAGACAATCTTGAATCTTGCTGTTAAGTGGGGTTTTTTGTTGTGTTTTTTGTTTAAAAAACAAACACTAGGCTATGAATGTACTTTTTAAATACAGAAGCCATACATGATGCAGTACTAAATGCTACCACACTAACACGAAACTACTTTGTGCTGCTGAAAAAGTGCATACAGAAGAGAACACTAGGCCATTTATACTTTTATAGGTCATACTAATAGATTTTTTTCTGCTCTATTTATTTAACCTTTACTGTATTTTACGCTAGAAGGCAGTAAAATTAACATTTGTACCTCCTTCCCAAAAAACAGCCAAGAATCAAATTCACAGTACCCTGTTCGCAAGCAACAAATTTGTCTTCTAATTATACTCCAGGGCTTACTTAACCACCGTTACCTGAATTCCATGATTAGAATGCAGCAATAAATGAATACTAGCTTATTCATAAAAGGCCAACAAATACAACAGTTCATTTATTTCATTATGCTTTACCAACTGGATTTCTTCTAATGTTATATGTTGGAGGGGGACTGGGATGCAGAGGAGAAGAAGAAACGAAAAATACCATCAAAGATTCTTTTGGTAACAGTTTCAAAAAGTTACATTTGAACTTCAAGTGATATATTAAAAAAAAAAAAACAAAAAAACCCAAAACAAGACACCACAACAAAAAACCCACCCCAAGATATGTGAGTGAAGAGTAAAAAAAAATGCATTTCTTAAAGCTCCTTTTCTCCTCGGCAACAAATTTACTCGTAGCACAGTTTGTAATCTGTGATACAAAACAAACTGCAACCACTTCATTACAGATACTGCTTTTAGTAAAAGCAAGCAACACTTTCTCCCCTAATGGATGATCTGAAATACTTTTCCAATTCTATTAAAGAAACCTCTAAGAAAATGATAAGCTGAAACATTTTGGTAACTCAGGCTTAAGATTTAAGTGAAATTTCTCAACATGTTGCTCTTCCTTAGGTATAGGTATAGCCAGCCAACTACAGCTTCCTTAGTCAACATAAAATGGCTTTTAAAATGCAAAATTCTGTCCTGCTGAATTAGAATTGACATAAGCATAAATAAAAAATAATGATTTTTAGAAAGTACCAATAGCTCCACTCAAATCTTATCATTGACTTCTTCAGTATCAATAACATATTTTGGCACTTCATTTGAAATACATATAATTGTGACAAGTTATTGTAAGACAGGAAGACATAGCAAAAAAGTCACCTAGTCCATCTCAAAAGCAATCTCATTGTCCTTTTTGACAGATTTTCTATGTATTTTTAAAGACAACTGTAATAGAGGACTCCACAAAATGCTCAAGTCCTTTATTCTACTAATGGTTTGCAACAAGTCAGCAGAACAAACTAGATTTAGTGTTCCCTTACCAAATTCAAGACAGGCGATGTTTTAAGTTTTAAAGTTATTACAGAAAGATTTTAAACTCCAATTGTTGGTGATATAACCAATGCAGCAGGACTTTGAATTTAAGCCTAACATTGAAGAAAATAAGTTTTGAGCCTGGTTTTCAAGAAAGCAGCTTTTCTTAAAAACAAAAAGCAGACATTTCAGGCTTCAGTTTAGCTCCAACAATCACAGTGAATAAAAGCACTTGGGACAATTTTTTATAAAGAAGAAATTATCTGCTGGGAGGACAATCTCACAAATGTGAGAGCATTTCAGTTTTATCAGCTTGCTCACATCTAGAGTTTAAACAGTCATCCAATAGGTAGAAGAAAGGCAGGCTGATTAACGCTGAAGCCCACTAAAATAACAGAAGATGAAATACCTTCTGATCATAGCTGCATATCTTAGTGAAAGAGTGCAAGACATGTGAAGATGAATTAACAGAAGTGGGGGAACCTGTCAATGCTAAACAACAATCACAGTTAAGCAACAAGTTGTCTTATTTAAAAGAGCTCAAGACATCTGGGATAGAAACTTAGCGTTTCTGAGAGCAAACTAAAAAGAAATAGCAAGACAACCTTCTCCATTCACCAAATGAGCAGATGGAAAAGATGAAAAATATTGGGGTTATTGTAGAACTATATGGTGACTGATGAGGTAATGACGTTTTGATCTCTAAATACAATCATACATAGGAAACAAAGCACAATTTCCAAGTTGATGACAATAAAATGTTTTCTTGGTTCCTCTCCCATAAGCAAACAGGTCAAACAACATATCTACTCTAGATTAGTGAAAGAATGCTAAGGAATTCTCTTGGTGGAAACCACAAAGAAAGTATTGGTCTTCTTCCAAAAAAAAAAAAATCATCAGGAATCTGACTTTCTAATCGTGCCTCCTGGCTTCCAGGGGGTGGCAGTAATGTTCCAATGACTAACAGACAAAGTACTTCATGAGGAACACACTGTAGTCCATTACATCATGCTGAGATGAACATCTGAGCATTCTGAAAAATCCTATTTAACCTGCCATGTAAGCCACAAATGCTGGCAATTCCCTTTAAAATTGTTTTTTAATAAATGAAAATGGCACAATATTTGAAATATGTGGGACAGGTAATATCACCAGTCAAGAAGTAAATGGTTAGAGGACTGTGATGCCTATAACGAAGAAACAAGCCTCTTCTTTCTTAAATCTAATTATTCTAGATAGTTCCTACTTATATTTACATACATTTTCACTCTTCACAACTTCAGCAGAGCAGCACCTCCATAAAACATATAATGGATTATTGAATATATGCAGAAGGCATTAGGAAAAAATAGTAAGTTTTTCATAGACAACACACTATCCGAGCACAAAGAGATCCTTTATAATGTCTGTCAAATGAAACCATGTTTGGAGTACAAACTAAAGAGCACCCAATCCCTCCTATTAGTTTCTAACTATTGCAGAAGGAAAAGGTATATATTCTAGACATCTGTGAAGTGGCCCTAGGATGTAAGTGTCATGATTGTACTGCTAACAGCTTTATTCATTTACAATAAAACAGAGATAGGCAATTAGACATCTTCACACATAAAACGAGCATAGTCAGAGGAGGAGTTTTGATTTCACTGAAAAGACAAATGCACAAACTATCCCTATCTTACTTAACAACCTGCCGTTCAGAGGGTGACACCTATCTACAAGATCACAATCCACTGTCCGCTTGTTAAGATTTCCAAAGAAAATGCACACATGCTTTCCTTCATGCTACTCACACACTGAAGAAGCTTCTCATACCATGTACCTACATTGTCAATACTACTCTACTTGTGGGACAAACATGTGATGCAGAGCTTTCAGCATCACTGAAGAATTTGGCCATAACATTTAAAAAGCACTATAAAAGAACAACGCTTTTATTAGTTAAAGCACATCAGAAATTAAGAATAATAATGTAACTGCTTCAGAGCATCACGAAGGGTGGTTATGTCCGATTAGTAAACAAATCAGGTCTGCCATTAGCTTTAGGTTTCATTATAGAAGTTAAGATGGTTCGGTGTGGGTTTTTTTAATCCATGTTGAATCCAGATGAACTGACTTTCATTCAAGTCTTTAATACATTGCACTATTAACACAGAAGGACCTACCAAACGGTTTTCATCAAATACTTCAAAAAGGAGCCTGTGTTTCTGAGGATTAACCTAGGAAAAAGAAATATGTTACTAGTTAAAATATATGCTGAATCCCAGCAGCTGTCCTCAGCAAAATCTCTGTGTTTATGCAGGAGGAAAGAAATACGTAAGACCTAAATTAAACAG